GTAGCCTGGAGGCTGCTTGGTCAGTTTTGTCTCAATGTGGCAAATACAGTGTTAAGCTGGAGGCTGCAACCACTGATATCAGTTATCTTTTGCTGCCCAACCTCGCGTAACCCCATGGCTTATAACTTCTAGCTTGAGTGTCTGTGGTAGATTCAAGATGGCCAGAGATTGTCACACCTCCCCTTGAAAAGTGGAGTCTATGTGCCTTTCCTTGGAGTCAGGTTGGCCTCTATGATGCTGTGACCAATAGCATTCAATAGAAGTGTTACTGTGCCAGTTCTCAGGTACCGCCTAACAGATCGGCAGCTTCCACGTTCTTGCAACACTGTCTTTGGGAGTCCTGAGGCATGGTCGAGGAAATTTGACTATATTGAGACTGGCATGCTAGAGAGACTATGTGATTGTGAGCCCAGGGTTTTCCATTTCTTTTAAGGCTGTGGATCTGTAGTTAAGCCTCTCAGACTGCCCATGCCCCAGCTGAATCCTGCTGAGTGACCCTAGTTGACGCCTCATGGAGCAGAAAAATAACCTAACTGATCCAGGAGCAGACTCCTGACCAATGAAACCGTGAGCTGTAATGAGATGGTTATTATTATTTTTAAATTATGTTTTTACTGATTTTTTAGAGAGAGAAGAATGGAGAGGGATAGAGAGCTAGAAACAACGATGAGAGAGAAACATCGATTGGCTGCCTCCTACTGGGGATCGAGCCCACAGTCTGGGCATGTGCTCTGACCAGGAATCAAACTAGTGACCTCTTGGTTCATGGGTCGACACTCAACCTCTGAGCTACACCGGCTGGCAAAATGGGTATTTTCAAGTCACTGAGTTTGTGGTACTTTGTTACACAGCAAGAGATAACTGGAAAGTGTCTATACTCTAGAGCAGGGGTGGGCAAACTTTTTGACTCGAGGGCCACAATGGGTTCTTAAACTGGACCGGAGGGCCGGAACAAAAGCATGGATGGAGTGTTTGTGTGAACTAATATAAATTCAAAGTAAACATCATTACATAAAAGTGTATGGTCTTTTTTTTCAATAGTTTTATTCATTTCAAACGGGCCGGATCTGGCCCGTGGGCCGTAGTTTGCCCACGGCTGCTCTATAGGATAGGTGAGGGCTGTTTGGTCTAGATTGGCCTCAGCTGGTCTGACCTAGGCTTGCTCATGTGTTTGTGGATCAGTTGGGAACTTTCATTTAGAGCAGTGGTTCTCAACCTCGGCTGCACATTAGAATCACCTGGGAATCTTTTTTTAAAATCCTGATTTCTGGGCCTCATCCTCCGGAAATTCTGTTTCTTTGTTATGGGGTGGGGACCACAACATTAGTAACAAAGAAACAGAATTTCCGGAGGATGAGGCCCAGAAATCAGGATTTTAAAAAGATTCCCAGGTGATTCTAATGTGCAGCCAAGGTTGAGAACCACTGATCTAGATTGTGTTTAGCAGGATTGCTTACTTGGGACAGTTCCGCTCCATGTGTCTCTTATCTTCCTTTGGACCAGCAAGCTTGGCCACACATGTCCTTCTCATGGCAGTGGCCAAAGTCCCAGAGAGCAAGTTGAGAGCTAGGCTTGGAAATGGCACCCTGTCATTTCCATCTCTTTCTATTGGTCAAAGTCACATGGCTGAACTCCAAGTCAAAGGATTGGAGTATAGACTCATTTCTTTTGTGGGAGACTGTGCGAAATCCATCTATCAAAGAATGTGAGTACAGGTAGGAGTGGAAAATTGGAGACAATAATGCAATAATTTGCTTCATTTTAGTTCAGTAAACCTTTATGGGTTTATGGGATATATTATTTGCAAATATTATGCTAGTAACATGGACCCCCCCCCCCAAAAAAAAAGAAAGAGATCTAACTTTCTGTTCTTTAAATGCTTACAGTATAGGCAACCTTCAGGATGAGTAAAAGGGATTACTGCATTTAGGTTGATTATGAACCTAAACTTCCTTTTAGTTCTTCACTTCTAACAGCTCTGTTAAAATTTATACCTGCATTAAACTTCAGACTTAATATTGGAGTTATGTTTTATTGTTATAGTGACTTAAAATTTGGTCAGAAGTCCTTACTTGCTTGAGTCATAGAATTTTTGTCTATGTTTTTACACAAACATGACAAATTTTTTCAATGAAAAATTAATGATATATATGCACTGTCAGTCAGGTTGCTGTCAAGATTTGCTCCACTGTTTTTCAAAGGGCTTCATGCTTTCTTCATCTCCAAATTCTTGGGGAGCCCCTTCATGGTCTTAAAGTACTGACTACATTATCCTTTAACATCTTTATTTAAACTGGGAAGCAGGAAGCCACAATGCAAAGAAAACATGTACGAGGACAAAGCGCACCCCAAATAGGGATGCTGAACACTTTCCTAATATTGCTTAGTTCTGTTTATTCCTTTCTGTAGCCCTCCACTCTCCTGTCAGATGTGCTATGTTCCCTCTATAACTATGTCTGTATGTTCCACTGTCAAAATAAAGTCAGAACCAGACTTCTCATCTCTCCTCTTCTTCATGTCTGCCATTTTTACATTCTTGCTTCCTATCTGTGGAAACCACTTTCTCTCATCAAATGGTCTAGAGTTGAGCTCCATGAAGTATCCAACTCAGTTCATTCTTCAGCATCTCTTATCACCCCGTAATCCCCAGGCAGCATGTGGATATGTGCATGGACTGACTTTAGAGTTAAAGGGATTTAAGCTTTAACCCCAGCTCCACTGCTTACTAACTCTGTGATCTTGTGCAAGCTACTTAATCCCTCCATGCCTCAGTTTTATAATCCATTATATGGGCAAAGTAAATCTTATTTTGCATAGTTCATGTGTGATGTAATTGCATTATAATACTTGCACAATGCCTGCTGTGTTCTCTATGTTAGTTTCCTTTCTCTTCCTGTCCCAAAGTCTACCTCTTACTTGCCACCTTAGGACTGGTTTATTAGGAGGCTATCACAACATATTTTTAGGATCAATAATACTTTGTATGCATAGACTAATAACACAGATATGCTTTTGCACGACCTCATTTGTTTAAGAGAACCAAAGCAATGTCTTAGAGCATTAAGACTCGGCATTTTGTAAACTCGAATTCTTACAACTAAGTGGCGAGGAGTTCAAAGTTACCAATATTTCACTTTGGATAGTTTGCATGTTGGATATTTGCTTTATTTTGATGGTTACTGCAGATAAGATCCTTAGAGATTGGGCCGGGTTTTACTTTTCTTTACATTCTATGACCTAGCACAGGACCTGACACTTCTTAGATGCTCAAATAAATGTTTGCTGAACAAATGAATGTTTCATTGAATACAATTGTGTGAGCCAATGAAAGTTTAATTGTTTTATACTGAAACAGAATATTTCTGTTGTCTGGTTTTTGTTGAGGCTCGGTTTGGCTGGCTGATGCATAGTAATCATGTTTCCTTGCCAGGGTGAGGACAGTGAGGGTGCAGGGTCTGTATTTGGAGGGATGCAATGTGATCATCTGCCCTTCATACTTCCTTCTTTGCTTTTGTTGTTTATCATCTTTCCTACTACCTTGTAAACTCCCTGACAGAGACCACATATCATTTCTCAGTGCTTGTGGCATTGTTAATATTCAATAAAGATTGGCTGAAGAAAAGTTAGCATTTTGGGATTTTTTTGTATGATTTTAGAAGTGCCGTATTCTACCTTTGTCCTTTCTCATCTGTTCTGATTTATATGGGTCTTCTCCAGAGCTCTTCCACTTATCCTACCCTTGGATTTATTGTTTTTTAATCTCCCCCTTATAAATGCCACATGATTTATGGGAAAGGGTTGAGGCTTTGAAATTAAAAAGACCTGGATTTAAGTTCTGAATTTGTAACTTCCTGTGATCTTGAACAAGGTCTGTAACCTCTTGGTGCCACTTTTCTCCTCCGAGAAGGAGAATGATAATGTGTCAGCTACCTGGCAGAGCTATGTTGAAAACTGATTGGACTGTATTCATAGAAAGGGCTCTATAAGTAGTAGATGTTATTACTATTTTTATTTCCATTCTCTTTACTTTTTTACTACTTATCCTAACTACTACTTCCTTTTCCAATTAAAAAAAACATTCATTTTTCACCCTGGATCTCTTATTAGCAGCCACTGGAATGTTGGGAGTTGCTGGGGAATGAAATACTATGAACTAGCAAAATTTCACTTCATTGGGAACCTTATATCACTTTGAGCAGTGATAAAAGCCCTAATAAGAATAACCACTGTTTGCCCCATTAAAATAATACAAAGACAAATGTGAGTTTTCAGGAAAAAATGTTCCTTGAATTATAAAGCAAAGAATTGGAAAAGGAAATGACATGTGAAGAATCTAAGAACATAGCGCATATTTAAATTTATGATTTTTTTATTCACTCTCTTGCTCTCTTCATTTATTACAACAGAGTCTAAAATTTTTCTCTCACAACAGGATCATTATCCCTATTTGATATAAGGACTATTTCAATTGTATTTTTTTCTTGAAATAAATGAGTTTGCTGGAATAAACTATTCAGCTCAATATTTTTCATCTTTCTCTAATACAAATATATTTGATTTCTATAAATCTGAGTGAGGTCAGTCAGGAAATTACACGTATTTGTTTTCCACAGGGTATCTGAGCTATTAAGTCATGTTACATTTGTTATAGATCATGTTTGCTACTTGGCAAGATCATTTGAATGACTAAGAACAATATTTTAGAACATGTAATACAAAGAAAACAACCAGAGAGGAGAATTGAAGCCAAATGTTCCTTATAAGAAATACTTTAAGTAAATAAAATATTGTGATTCAAACACACTTCTTCATATAAAATACATAAAAATATCATTCAATATTATACTTACTATTCATTCTTATGGTATATATATATATATATATATATATATATATATATATATACAGATTTCTTTCACATAAGTACATATTCATATTACTTTTCATTCCTTCTAATGTAATATGTGTATATATTCCCCTTCTTTCTTCCAGCCTCAATTATGTGGATGTTATCTTGGCTTTGTGCTATTTTAATTATTTTGGCTATTGCTGATATGGATGCAATAGCAAAGACCACGCCATATATCAAATTTACAAAGAAATCTGAGGGAAAAGAGATGCTGGAGGGTTTAAAGCCGTCCAGTGGCCTACCTCCAGGAGAAGAAGAAACACCCTTCACAGAAGTGGCAGAAATGGCAGAACCAACCTCTGACCCCTTGGTCCAAGATTCTACCTTTGGCACTGCCACTCTCTTCCCCTTTGAAAACTTCACTCTGGACACGGCCGATTTCTTTTTGAATTGCTGTGATTGTTGTTCATCTGCACCAGGGCAGAAAGGAGAACCCGGAGAGACTGGAAATCCAGGTATTTTAAAATATATGAAAAATACATTTCTCTCCTGTACATCCTTAGAGTTGAGAGGTTGATTGGAGGTGGAATTGCCCCAGGGGTTTTCTATGTTGTCATGAAAATGGCGATAGGCCTAGGTATGACTTGTGATAAATGAAAATGGGTCCTGTGTAGTCCAAAGTGGTAGCCACTACTCTCCTGCATAGCTATTAAAAATATTAAAATTAAAATTAAGAAGGCAGGGTGGATGGGTGGTTGGGGAGTGATTAGCAGGGAAACTTATGTGCATATATGCATAGCCCATGGACACAGACAATAGGGCGGTAAAGGCCTGGGAGGGGCAGGTGTCAGGTGGAGGAGATCAATGGAAAACAACAAAAGCAAAAACAAAAACAAAGGGGACATCTGTAATACTTTCAACATTAAAGATAAATTTTAAAAAATTAAATAAGATTAAAATTCAGTTCCTCAGTCAGACTAGCCACATATGGCCAATGGTTAACCTGTTGGGCAGCAAAGATATACATTTCCATCACTGTAGAAACTTCTATTGGGCAATGTTGGTTAGAGCAGAGATCAGGTCTACCAGCCCCAGCACAGGTGTGTAGCTCTTCAAGTTACACAGGCCCACTACCAGTACAATCTTTTCACTGATGCCGATGTAAAAAGGGAAAATGGAAATTCTGTTATCTCACAAGACGGTGCTGACTGATGGGATTTGGGAGTGCTATTTGTAGTTAGGATTAGAAGTGGAATGCCTGTGAAGTGGAGAATAAAGCTAGGATTCAGCTTGCTTCTCATTGAAATTCTGAGTCAACACCGAATTCTTGCCTGGCGATTTTCTCCATTGAACGTCATGATGACATATTTCAAAATTTCAGATGTCTTTCATATATACATTATGAATACACTCTCAGTTTTATTGTAATGTATTTCAGCTTTTACATGTCATATAGCAGAGAACTCAAGGTAAAAATGAGATCAACATGCCAAGTGCAAATTCACTATTCCCTGAAAAAAATTACATATAAATATTTCTTATATCTTGCTTGAAGAATTTAAAGTTATGAAATCGGGACTTACACATACTCATTAAGCTTTTCATTCATTTCATCTGTTGTAGGAACCTTTTGGGAAATGTGCTCAATATTTACGTAGAGCTGAAATAAGAGGGTAAAGGAGCTGGGCTGTGGTCTGGGGCACTGAGTTCAGGGTTGCTAAAACATTATTGGAAACATAATGAGACTGAGAAAATTATATTTACCAGAATTTTTCTTAGTATCATATCTGGTTGGCATGCTGCGCGGGAGTGAAAACCCCCAAGGGCATGGCCAAGTAAACACAGCTGGTTGCTAAACAGTCTTCTACGCTGTGGGTCTGTAACATCAAAGCTTGTGTTTTACCCAGGGGTGGATTTAGCTGCGTTGTTCTCAGAGCTCAGCCCCTCCTGTAAACACATATGACAAATATTCCAAAGGTGTGCCAAGTCATTAGTTTGCCCAGGATGCTCATGTGTCTTCGTCTGACTTGTTCCGCAAAGAGCAGAGAGCTTAGGAGCTCAGCATGTTGAGGCTATCATGAAATTACGTTGGGGGAAACTTCATTGCTTCTGTAAGTCTCAGTTTCCAAAATAGTAAAATGAGATAAAAATAATTCCAACCGCATAGTCATCAAGACAACTGAATGAGTTTATACCTATAAGGACTCTCAGTGTGGTGCCTAGAATAGAATAAGTGCTCAATAAGTTTACTTTTTCAGTTAGCTGATTGAGGAGTCTTTTTCTACCTCATGAAATAGTCTGAGCCTGATAGGTTCCTGTTTTTGAGATTACTACAGAGATGTTTATTTTGACTTTATCAATGTTTTAAAAGAACACAACTTTTTTTAAAAAAAGTTAAAAATCTAGTATCAGAGCATCATTAAATAAACTTGAATAAAGTTACTCAAATTCTAATTTGCTCATTGGGTCTTAGCTTATGCCATTTTCTTAGGCAGCGGTTCTCAACCTGTGGGTCGCGACCCATTTGGCAGTCGAACGACCCTTTCACAGGGGTCGCCTAAGACCATCGTGCATATCAGATATTTACATTACGATTCATAACAGTAGCAACATTACAGTTATGAAGTAGCAACGAAAATAATTGTATGGTTGGGTCACAACATGAGAAACTGTATTTAAAGGGCCAGAAGGTTGAGAACCACTGTAATCTTAGGGATGTCTCCTCTGATTTTTTTATATCACTAACTACAGGTTAGCAATTTTTATTTATTTGTGTGGTTATTTGTTTAATGTTTATCTTTCATGGACTCTCAGCTCCATGAGGGTAGGGATTGCTGGAAAAATTTTAAAAGTTTTGTATGAATCTCTAAAAAATTTATAGTTGCCATGTAATATTATATTATGAAGTTTCAACAGTGAGTCAACATTTATACACCTTATGAATTCTAGTAACCACCTGTCATTGTACATAGTTATGATATTATTGACTCTTTTTTAGCTGTACATTACATCCTCCTAATTTACGTTATAACTGGAAGTTTGTGCATTTTAAGCTCCTTCCCTTTTGCCCATTTCTCCACCCACCCCCTCTGGTAACCATCAGTTTGTTCTAGGGACTCCTGGAATGTTGATGGCTGATTTTTACCCCTAAGTGGGGTGCTTGGTTTATAGGAAGCCTCAGCAATAGTTCCTGAGTGAATGGGTAAGTGAGTGAGCCAGAAAACCAAAAGTGCTAGGTATTGTGGTTTTACTCAAAATCTGAAAGTGTGGTCCACGTGAGGTCAAGAGTCAGGTAATCGTTCTGTTCTTGTTGTTTGATAGAGCACTGACTGCTTCCCTGAATCATTAGATCTTTGCCACAAATCAAGGGACAAGTACTAATGTGCTCAATTTATCTATTCAGGTAGTACAGAATTGTAAATGAGACACAAATATTGTCCTTAGGACTCTCTAATAGTTATTCTCATCCAGATTTTGTCATTAGGACACTGATAGTCAGTAGTATTAATATGAGGACTGATTTCCCCCCCGAACTAATGAATTTTGAAAGAGAATCCTTTTTAACCTTGATGGTTTTAAATTATCTTTTCCAGGTCCTAAGGGAAAGACTGGTGATATGGGGGTTCCAGGGTCACCAGGAATCATTGGACCCCAAGGTCCAAAAGGCCAGAAAGGAGAGAAGGGTAGGTAATTATATTGATTTCATGTCAAAACTCAAGGGATGTTCTGCATCATTTTTAGGACAACAATTAGCTATGTAAATACCAGATTCTTGCAGGTGGGTCAAATTTGCTTAAGCATATTGTGAGTTATATTTGCTACAAAAATGTCAACTTTATAAATAGCCAATTGAGAAATTTTTAACTTGCTTGGTAACATATCACACACACACACACACACACACACACACACACACACACACACACACACAATTTTCTATTTCTCATTGGCCTCCCAGCTGACCCAGTGACAGGGCAGGGTCCTTCCCAATATATTCTCATGTGAACTCTTTCTCAGGATGCAAATTAATTTCATACTAGATAGAACTAACTGGAGCAGGCAATCCTATTCCCTTGAGGTGGCTAGCCTGCCTGCTAAGGTAACTATGACCTATCCTTTGGCTCACACTCAAATTGGGGGCAGTGTCAATGGTGGGAAGAGAACTGAATTCAAATGGAAGAAATCAACCACATAACAGTGACCTCATATCTTTACCTCATCTGAAAATTGAGGGGAATAGACTAGATATCTATTTATACCCTATTTACTTTCAAAATAGATTTGTAGTTAAGTGTGTTTCATAAATCTTTTCCAGCTCAGAAATTCTATAATTCCACAGATATCAGTAAAGAGGGCATCTTTCCTGGGAAATCCCTGGTTCTGTAAGTGCATCAGGTATTGAGGGAAGGTTACAGATTCACTGGGACATTTAGAAATTCCTCAGTGAACACCGCCAGCCTGTAGAAATACCATCTATCCATCAAGGTAAATGTTTTAGCCTCAGTGTCACATGTCAAAAGACCTAATATCATCTATACATCACCCTCCACATGGCTCAGGAACTGCCTAACTCATTTCTAGTAGAACGTTCAGTGAAGTAATTACTTAGAAAAGAGGCTAAGGTAAGAGGGAGCTGCTTCACACTTGTCAGTTAGGCAATTTTCATTCTCAGAAACATTTAATCCTTTTGTGGCTGAATTATGTCAGCAGAAAACCCTGTGAAATAAAGATGAGTTATGAACCTCCCCAGTGATTCATACATTTTGGAAGCTAGACTTCTGAAAGTAGAAGAAAAAAACAGGGAGGTATCATAAGATAAGGTTCTTAAGAATAAGCTTTGATGAAGGATCAAAAGTAGAAATTCATTCAGCCAGTCTGTGGCTTGGAAACTCCACTTTCCTTTTACTTCCAGTCTAGACTCTTAGTTAAGGGCTAAAGTTGAAAAGAAATAAATAGCTTGAACGAGTGCATTCTGGCTCATCACACCCTGATTGAGTAAAACCCAGTGTAAGCAGTTAGAATCCCTAAGTGAACTTGAGAACCAGAATCACTGTAATAAGGCTCAGTATATGAGTATTGACAAGAACTGGAAATAGAAGTGGCCCTTCACATCCATTCAGGGTTGCGTTCTCTCCAAATGCAGGCATATTTTCCTGATGGCCTAAGGGTTAATTTCCAAGCTATAAGCTTTATGTGGAATGGTAATAGAGGAGCTGGCTGCTTAGAAAGCTCTGCTGAATGGCTTATGGTAAGATTTCTGCAGTTGCTCTTGTGAAATTTTGGGGAGTCTCCTCTCATGACTTTTACTTTGACTTGGGATTTTTTTCCTGACAAAAATGAAACAACAAATGTTAGTTTTATATAAATAATGTGATTGATAAGTCAATGCCAACCACTGTAATATGCATTCATGTTCAACTCTGTACACATTTCTAAATTTTTTTGTACCTCAGTTTCTTCTGTGATAAAAGTGGTGACAGGAAAAACCAAGATGGCGGCATAGGTAAACACTGGAAATTGCTGCCTCCCACAACAACTTCAAAAATACAACTAAAGGACAAAACAGACATCATCCAAAACTACAGGAAGGCTGGCTGAGTGGAAATTCTACAACTAGAAGGAAAGAGAAAAGCACACTGAGACTCAGAGGAGCTGCGGAAGTAGAGTGAAGAGGTACGAAGGCTTGAGCGCGCGCGGAAAGGGGCTGGCACCTGAGGACGCGGCTGTCTATTTGAATCGGGAGGGAGTCACAAGCTCCCGACTGCTCTGAACTTCAGTTCCGGGAAGTCTCTGGGGACCCAGGACTCATACGGGGAGAAACTGGCAGCAGGCAGAACTCGGAACTTGAGGGTAGCTCTCTCTCAGAGGTGCTTGCAGCGATTACCAGGACACTGAGACTTGAGGCCCCTTAGGACAGGGCTGAGGATCAGCCATAGCTGCTTGCTCCACCCTGTTGATTCCCTGAGACTCTGCCCCACCCAAGCTGCGGCAGAGGCTTTTGCATATGAATGCTCTGGCCCAGGGGTCCTCAAACTTTTTAAACAGGGGGCCGGTTCACTGTCCCTCAGACCACTGGAGGGCCGGACTATAGTTTAAAAAAAAACTATGAACAAATTCCTATGCACACAGAGGCAGCAAAAACACCTGGCGGGCCGGATAAGTGTTTTCAGCGGGCTGCATGTGGCCCGTGGGCCGTAGTTTGAGGACCCCTGCCCTGGCCCTTTGCAATCTGAAAATTACCTAACAAATTGCAGCTGGGCCAGACAGACCCAGAACTTCCAAGAGAAGGCCCAAGGCCCCACAGCAGCTTGCATTGCTTCACAGCTGGGCCTCATCTGGGCACCTCTGAACCCCCAAAAAGGAAGGGGAATCTGCAGATCTCTTCGTAGCTCCTGCTGGGTAGCCTCAGGAAGAGGCTAAATTAGCACTTCCTTAGATCCAAGAGCCAGTGTACCCAGTGGGCAGAGTGGGACCATCCAGATTGCAACTCCTCAGATCCATAAGGGACATACTCAGGGGGCAGACTCAGTGAGCACCAAAGCCCCACTGAAGCAAGTCTTGCTCCAGAAGGGTGTCTTCAGCACAGAAGTTTTCCCACTGCAGACACAGCTGATTCTCACAGCCAATTGGCCTGGAGGTCAATTCCTCCCAGTGATACCTACAACAATCAAGGCTTAACTACAACAAGACTGTGCACAAAGCCCACAAAGGGGTGCACCAAGAGTGTCCACCTCAGGTAATTGGGGAGGCTGAGCCACTGGGCCCTATAGGACACCTAGCACACAAAGCCACTATACCAACACAGGGAAGCATAAAAAAATGCGGAGACAAAGAAACAGGTCACAAATGATAGAAATGGAGGAAAGCAAATGACTGGATATAGAGGTCAAAACCACGGTTATAAGGTTTTTCAAGAATTTTCTAGAAACCGCCAATAAATTTAGTGAGAACCTGGAGGATATGAAAAAAGACCAACTAGAAATTAAGCATACACTTACTGAAATAAAGAATAATCTACAGAGATCCAACAGCAGACAAGAGGATCCCAAGAATCAAGTCAAAGACTTGAAATACGAAGAAACAAAAAATACCCAACTGGAAAAGCAAAAAGAAAAAAGAATCCAAAAAATATGAAGATAGTGTAAGGAGCCTCTGGGACAGCTTCAAGCGTACCAACATCCAAATTATAGGGATGCCAGAAGAAGAGAGAGGACAAGATATTGAAAACCTATTTGAAGAAATAATGACAGAAAACTTTCCCTACCTGGTGAAAGAAATAGACTTACAAGTCCAGGAAGCACAGAGGACCCCAAACAAAAGGAATCCAAAGAGGACCACACCAAGACACATCATAATTAAAATGCCAAGAGCAAAAGAAAAAGAGAGAATCTTAAAAGCAGCAAGAGAAAGACAGTCAGTTACCTACAAGGGACTACCATACGACTGTTAGCTGATTTCTCAACAGAAACTATGCAGGCCAGAAGAGAGTGGCAAGAAATATTCAAAGTGATGAATAGCAAGAACCTACAACCAAGATTACTTTATCCAGTAAAGCTATCATTCAGAATTGAAGGTCAGATAAAGAGCTTCACAGATAAGAAAAAGCTAAAGGAGTTCACCACCACCAAACCAGCATTATATGAAATGCTGAAAGGTATCCTTTAAGAAGAGGAAGAAGAAGAAGAAGGTAAAGATACAAATTATTAACAACAAATACACATCTATCAACAAGTGAATCTAAAAATCAAGTGAATAAAAAATCTGATGAACAGAGTAAAAAAAAAAAAAAAAGTGGTGACAAAAATATCTGTCCTGCAGTTTTTAAAGGGAGGTGCTATAAACTTTCTTAAATGAAAAGTGTCCCAATTGGTGAAATATGCTCTGTTGTATAAGCTCCCTGTTAAATGAGAGGCTGTATTAATATCAAATAAAAATTAACATTTAATTTAAAAGACTAGATTAAATTATAAAATTATGTTAAGAGCTTGGACTATTACCTGGTGCAAGGTAGATGATCAGTAAGAATCAGCTGTCATTCTTACCATTATTGTTGCTCTTCTCATTTATAATTAAAATAAGTCTAGTGTGGCTTAAGAGGACTGGGCTTCAGCCAGGCCCAGGATAAAAGTCCATTTTGTGGTAATATGGAAAATATCTAAAAACCCAGATTCAAACTTTTTTTGAAATACAAGTTCCCATAGTTCTATAATTTGTCCAAAGAGTATATGAAAAATTTTCTGAACAAAATAAAAATTGGCTTTCCTTGATGCTCTATGTCAAGGACACTATATTTTTTTCCTGGATGTTTTTTTTTTTTTTAACCTATATATGTTATTGATTTCAGAGAGGAAGGGAGAGGGAGAGAGAGATAGAAACATCAATGATGAGAGAGAATCATTGATTGGCTGCCTCCTGCACACCCCCTATTGGGTATTGAGCCTGAAACTCAGGCATGTGCCCTGACAGAGAATCGAACTGTGACCTCCTGGTTCATAGGTCAATGTTCAACCATGAGCCATGCCTGGCTGGGATGAATGGGTTTTATTATAATGAATTGGAGCCAAATGAAGAATGTTGTGCTCTGTGTTCAATTCTTCATGGTATAATTTCTCAGGCATTGTGGGGAATATGAAGACTAGAACATTTTAACTGTCATTCAAAATTCATAATAGGAAAGAAACACATACATCTGTAACAAAAGATTGCATGTTATGAGTTTTGTGAAAGATTTGAAGAGCTGTGGGAACACTGATGAAAAACTGAGTTCTGTTTAGAGAGATTGGCGCTATCCCCAAATCTGCTTTAAATGATTTACCATCAATTGGAATAAACTATTGCTAATGATGCTCAATAACCTTTTCCCATATTGTTTTACTTTATTTATTTAGTATTTTTATTGAGTTTATCTAGGTGTTATTGGTTAATATAATTATGTGGGTTTCAGTGTACAATTCTAAAATACATCATCTGTATGTTGTATTGTGTGTTCACTGCCTCAACCATATTGTTTTACTTTTATACATTTTGGTAAAGGAAGCATCGAAATGTGAGATGGCTGTGAAATGGATGTTAGTTTTATTGTAACTAATATAATTGGAAGATAGTTAATCTTGGCATCATTTTAGGACTTAAGGGAGAACGTGGGGACCAGGGATCAAGTGGAGTTCCGGGATACCCAGGAAAACCTGGAGAGCCAGGTAGGGTGTAAATATTCCTGTTATAGAGTATAAACTATATCATGTGTGAAGTATAGTATTTGATTTTCTTCCTATTTGTATTCCAAGTTATGAGGAGGTAAGAGGGGCATATGAATTGCTATGCCTCTTCTAATAATTCAGTGTATTGGTATGTTGGAGTGTGAGTACTGAGCTAGGAATTTGGAGACTAGATAAAGGCATCTGAGCTCTTGTCCCTCTTCCTAGCTGTCTTTGGGGAAAGATTCTTGCATCTTTCTGGGTTTTAGTTTCTTTGCCTGAAAGGCTTAAATTTGGATGGAGAATATGGAGATGTAAGAGAATACTTGGATTGGGCCAAACTGCAAACTATAATGGAAAAAATGAGCAATAGTTTTACTATCCTTTATTATCTTAAGAGTAAAAAATAAATAAATAGAACTAGATACATGAGATCAAAATACAAGCTATTACTTTTCGGTAGCATGAACTCTTCCCCTTATGAGACAGGTGCTGATGTGAGTGGCTCCATGCACGAGACTCCTCCCACAACCATTACTGAGGCAAGAGCCAGGTTTCCAGCCCGGCTGGCGTGGCTCAGTAGTTGAGCATCAACCTATGAACCAGGAAGTCCCGGTTCTATTCCTGGTCAGGGCACCTGCCTAGGTTGCTGGCTCATCCCCAGTGTGGGGTGTGGCAGGAGGCAGCCAATCAGTGATTCTCTCTCATCATTGATGTTTCTCTCTCTCCCTCTCCCTTATTCTCTGAAATCAATATATATATAAAAGAGCCAGGTTTCCAGTCCCAGGTAGTAGGATTTGTTTCTATTTTGTGAGCTCTGTGATAATAGCATATTGTTTATAGCATATGTGGTCTGTAAACATTATTTTAATTTTTCATTTTAGGTGGACCTGGTCCTAAAGGGGCTAAAGGAGACACCGGACTGGTGGGAGTGAAAGGACAAAAAGGCTCCAAGGGGGACACGTCTGTCAATGCTACCAAAGGAGACAAAGGAGACCGAGGGGCTGTGGGCTCTCCAGGCTTGAATGGAGAGCCTGGGGCCAAGGGAGAGAAGGGGGACCGGGGGGAGAAGGGCTACTGTGGGAACTCTGGGGAGAGGGGAGGAAAGGGGGAAAAAGGTGAGGTGGGGCTGAAAGGAGAAAAAGGTAGCAAAGGCGATATTGGAATGGAAGGCAAAAGTGGCCCAGAGGGCCTACCTGGAGCCCGAGGTGACCCAGGGGCTAAAGGAGAAAAGGGAGCTGTAGGTCCTCCTGGTCTGGTGGGACCTGTGGGGCCCAAGGGTGAGCTTGGGAGCAAAGGGGTCCGAGGATCTATTGGGAAGAAGGGTTCTCGGGGCCTCAAAGGCTCCAAGGGGGAGATGACCAGAGTCCCACGGTCAGCTTTCAGTGCTGCTTTATCAAAGCCTTTCCCTCCTCCCAATGTCCCTATCAAATTTGACAAGGTTTTCTATAACGACCAAGGGAATTACAGCCCCGTCACCGGGAAATTTAACTGTAGCATTCCTGGGGCATATGTGTTTTCCTACCACGTCACGGTGAGTGGCCGGCCAGCTCGGATCAGCCTGGTAGCCTGGAATAAGAAGCAGTTCAAGTCCAGAGAAACGCTCTATGGTCATGAAATAGACCAGGCCTCTCTCCTCATCATCCTGAGGTTAAATGCAGGGGACCAAGTCTGGCTGGAAGTGTCCAAAGATTGGAATGGAGTGTATGTCAGCGCTGAGGATGACAGCATTTTCACTGGGTTTCTTTTGTACCCAGAGGAAATGCCTGGAATTTCACCATAAACTTGTGTCTGAACACTGCAGTTTGGAGTGAGTGAAATAAGTCAGGTAACAGAGAATAGTGCTATTGAAAAAAATAACTTTCCTTATTTTTTCATGACTATAAAAATAATACAGAAAAAATGATGTCACTTAGTGTCAACTGCTATTGCTATTTTAAGGCATCATGTTTTTTAAAAAATAATTATCTATCTGTATTTGAGAGCATATATCTGTTAACTTAGTAGATAGTTTTTTCATTTGATTATAATGGCATTTCATTTCTCAAGCCATTTAAGTGATTAATGTTTGTATACAAAAATATAAATGAGATTTGTAATTAATAAATTGTAAATATCTTCTATATCTCACATAAATGTGTGCAACTATTTTCTGTATGAATGTGAGGCAAATAGCTGATCTATCATGATGGGCAGGTACAACTCAAAAGTTTCCAATTCTGTTAGAAAGGTTGCCTTCCAACTAAATGGAACTCTTTCCATATTAGATTAATTCTGGAAGAATACACAGAAAGAATGTTAATGACTAGCTAAAATATCTTTAAAATTAACCAGTGTGTAAAGATTTGCTCATAAAACACCTGTATTATATGGACTTATGCATTGGGTAAAAGGTAAAAAGAAAGTTAAAAAAGATATTGCTAAATTCAGTCATAACAAAGACCCAGCTATTCACCAAATTATTGTGTGTAGAAGAAGTGAATGTCCCCCAAAGACTCAAGAGCAAAAGTAGATCATTTCTGAGCCCTTTCTTCACAGAAGAACATTCATTTTGGATAAATTCCTTGGATTCATCATCTCCATAATTAATTCCTGTTATTCAGTGATAACACTAGTGGAACAGGTGGGTATTTGGGAATATACTTGCAATGAGAATATTTAATAAACATGAATATAGAATAATTCAACAGCCTCATATTTGAAGAAGTGAATTTGTTGAATCTAAATGGAAATTGGTTGAAGAAGGCATGTAGTTAGGCAGATTTACAAATCTTGGTGAGTCAAATCAGGGAGTGGGTGATGGGGAACTGGGGAACTTCCTGGTTTTGTTCTGCCAGACAGACAGACTTTGACAAGCACCATTCACTTTTCAACTTCTCTCTATATATGAGAATCTCAAATATGTGTTTAGAGGAAAGCCATTTCTGGAAGTTATTGTTATGAGTTACTGGGAAAAAAGTTGGTTCTGCATCAAACAAATGTTGGAAATGCTATCTCCTGTATCTCTGTCTTGGAAATTCATAAAGCAAGTCCATGTTCCCTGACATTCCCACAGAACAGAAATATAATTTTGTTTTATCCAAGAATCCCATGTTTACTTTGCGTATAGGACTCATCAAATAACATCCTGTGGAACAGCCTCGTGTAGGATGCCCATTTTAGGAACCTGGTGTTAATTTCTTATCCGAAGACTACCTAGCAGGCGGGGGTAAGTTCCCTCTTGACATTTTCCCTTCCTTCAGCAGTTTTACTCTATTTAGACTGTAATATTGCTTAGTGGAGGCTTTCCTGTATTTGTCAGAGGGAGAATAAGATAAGCCACATGATTAAATCAGTGATGCTTGCACTTAGAAATTTTCCTTTTCCATTTTGAGGCTTGGGTATCAAAGACATTCAGAAACTTAAAGTTTTGTTTCTCTTTTAATATATATATATATATATATATACATATATATATATATATATATATATATATATAGAGAGAGAGAGAGAGAGAGAGAGAAATATAATATAAATATAATATAAATATATTAAAAGGAATATAAACAAACTTTTGTTTCTCTCTTTGTATGCATATATAGGGTGTCCCAAAATTCACGCAAGATTTGAATTTTGCGTGAGCATTAACAACAACAAAAAATAAAAGCTTAATTTTACTTGGTTTATTGAATCAGATTCTAATATCCGTTGCCCTTTGATTTCAATCCCTTTAATTTGATAAGCATTACCAAGTACCAATTACTGCCCAGGAGCAGGGACAATGAAGACCATATGTGCCAACAAAGCTGTGAAGGCCATTTACCTGATGTGCTATTCCATACATAACCCTATACTGTATACTTTATGAATCAATAAAAAATTTACAATTTTTAATTATAAACCTGTGTTTTCTATCAAAATTACTTCTTGAGCGAATTTTGGGACACACTATATATGTATAAATATATACATACATATATATATTTTTTTTCTTATGCCTTTTCCATTATTGGATTGAAGGGACTTGGGGAGGCCAAGAGCCAACAAACTTAGGAAGATGGAAGAGAAAACCACATTATGATGTAAAAGGCAGTTGGACAGAGGACCAGTAAGGGAGCAGCAATTTCTATGGAGAATTTATGACATTACATGTGTTTGTAGTAAACATTTATAGGAAGCCTGAAGTTAAGGGCTTAGGGTTAGGATCCAGGATTGGTGGCTAATTGTGAACTTTTTTAGGGTATCCACAGCAAGGAAGTTCATAGCCTTTAAAGTGGCTTTGCGGGGGTGGCTTCTTGGTTCTTTATGGCACTTTTTTTGTTATGAGAGGGAAGTAGCACAATAATGCTCCATTTTCCAACTATATCATGTCTCCCTTATTATTGAAAGCACAAAATTAAGGAGATTAAGGAGTGACTCTCATTTCCAGGATTTGAATACAGCCCCTACCTACCCCTACCCTAATGTCTGTCAAATATACAGACCTCTCCCCTGCATGCCCTGAGTATTAAACTGATAGAGTTAAACTGACATCTCGAACTTAAAATGAAAAACCAAGCTTCTGAAATTCCCCCAAGCTGCTCCTCCCAGATCCCTCCCTAACTCACAGAAGACCACCACTTCTGGGGTTGCTTAGACCAGAAAGCTGTCTTTGATTTTTCCATTTCATACTTAAATCCAACCTGTCAGGAAATCCTTTTGATTCTTTCTTGAGAAGGTATCTAAAATTGGATGACTTTACACATGTCTGTTTCCATCATCCCAGTCAAGCCAACATTATTTATTACCTGAATTATTTATTGCAGTAATGTCCAAATTTGATCCACCTAAGTAAGACACAAGGGACCTAGGGTTAAAATACAAATGGGATCCAACATTACATATATTTAAATTTTTTAAATCTATGAATTAAGCTAACAAATAGTTATTTAAAATATTTTCTGTCCTCCTACATTAATGTATGCTTTCATATTGAAAAAGTAAAAATAATCTACTTTTTGTATGACTGACAGTAAACAAAATATCAAAGATGGCTGAATTGCAATTGTGCATGTCTGAGAGTTCTATTCATAAGCAGGTGGTGTTTGGATGAGTAATAAAAGAAAGATATTCATGAATTATTAGATATTTATCCTATAGATATTATTTTTAAAAGTTAATTTCAGAAAAATACTATGTTTTCATAATTAAAATTTCTACATAGTTTATATTCCATTGACAGTATTTTTTCAAATTAGACCACTTTTGTTGAATCATTATATTTGAACACTGTGTTTTAAAATTTAATTTCAATTTGAAGAAATTGTTCTGCTGAATTAGCAATCAGGTTTGGAAATGAACCATGAATTTTACATATCATGTTCAAATATTGTCGTTGGGGTTGCATAGGATATATTATCACCATTGTAAACAATATTGCAAAATATTTAAATTTCATTATGCAAACTATGATCACATATGTTGTCATTTTCATCATCTTTTAAAATAACATTCTAAAATCTATATCAATCAGGAATTTTCAGTCTGGACCTGCATAAATACAAATTTAGAGAGATATGAATTGTTTAATATGTTTAGCCATTAACTATTGCCAACACTGGGCAATTCATGAGTATCTCAAGAATGATGAACTATAACATAATGAAAAGCATGAAAATGAATGCTCAGCACAACTGAGACATAATACTTCATTATCTAAGGCATTTATGCTCTCCAAGAGGAGGTAGATAAGTTCCGTTGTACTTCTCTTAATTAAGCACATCCATTGTTCCAGTCCTCCCCACACACCAGAGCAGTGTCTATCTGCTACGCTTGCAGCAGCGCAGCCCACTGGCTGTGATGGCATTTGGAGGCAGTCACCTTCTGTTTGATGCACACAGGGCAGGAGGCCTGGAGAAGAGCTTCCCCGGGGCCTGAAGGATGCTAGTCATCGGAGTTACTGGTTAGACTGCAGTCTGTGCTGTAGCAGAATTGAGCCCAATTTCTAATAAAGGTGCCCTGGGTGTCATCATAAATTTACATGTTGTCTGTTTGTTTTTTGCAAGACTTCCTAAAGCATGGGGCCTAGGACAGGGAACTTTAGACCCATGCTTGGGTCTAAAACATGATATGAGAGTATCACCTATTTCTGTCCTGACCGCTTCAATCAAAGCAATCCTGTTTAAAGGAAGTTGCATCATTTTACTCCTCTGCTCAAAGCCTCTTGAAGCTCCCATCTCATCTAGAATAGAAGCCGAATCCTTACTATGATGAGAGAGGCCTCATGTGACCCGGCCCCTGCTCCCCTTCCCACTTGCTCTCCTGCCATATCCTCCATGCTTGCCCTGGGCATTGCCCTCAGTGCTGGTCCTCAAACTCACTGGGCATGTTTCCACTCAAGGCTTTGCATGTGCCTTTCTATCTAAATGGCTGTTACCAAGATAACTTCATGACTGACCTCTTTCTCTCTCCCAAGCCTTTATTTTAACATCAGCTTTTCAGTAAGGTGTTCTTTGACCACTCAATTTTAATCGCAGTCCCCATGCCCCAACCCTCATCCCTGCTTTATTTTTCTCCATAGCGCTCACCACCATCTAAAGTGCTGTAGTTCACGTACTGACCTTCTTTGTTTTCTGTTTTCCCGTTGGAAGGTAAGTTCCATGGATTTTTGTCTGTTTATTGCTCTATCCCTAGCTAGCACCAGGACATTCAATATGTGTTCAGTGAGTAAAGATTGATAGGGTCCAAACTGATGTAGTAGTTGTAGATCTCTTCATAAGGTGGTGCTCACAGACTACCTTTGCTTTTGGTTTTTATCTTAAAACAAAAGCCAACCAACAAGTCTGTTGCAATGCAAATAAAACAGTAATCTCTACTTCACAATTAAGAATCTGGCTTCTATGGGGTTGCAATAAGAAGCAGCTATGAGAGGGGGACAATGTTTCAGGAACTGAGCTTTGTGTGTTCAATGAGCCTTAAGTGATATGTACCAAGTGAGACCACAGAAGCATGGCGCAGTTAGACAATGTGCCAAAGACACCAGTGTGACAGGTGTGGAACCA